ATTAGGTAAATTTAATATACGTTCAAGCCTGGTAGTTCTAGTGTTAGGGAAAAGGTGAGCGAATTAACTTTGAATTAACCAATTACTAAAACTGTACTTTGGTTTCAGGATCACAAAGACGAAGTTAAACACCCACGCTGGCTAGCACATTTACCAGACCTTAACATTATCACACCTCAAATTCCTCTAAAAAACAACTTGAAGAGTTTCCTCCTATTAAACATTCTTCAAGATTCGTACGATTCCATTCCCAGAAGAATCCAGGTTGTATTAGACGCCAATGATCGTACACGATATTAACACTAGAACTACCGACAATAAACGCATATTTGCTTCGATCGTTGGATGAACGTGGAAAACTTGAAAATTTATAAATTTATAAATTCACTAATTTCTTCACTCTCATATCGTAATAAAAGGTGCAAAAGATCTGGGAAAATGTATTGTCATAACATTTTAATCGTCGTTGTGAGAGTGTATTGACCAGTCATTTTTACTGATTTGGTAGTTCTAGTGTTAATAAAGAATTTCCATAATGCCCGAGGTGTTCCCACTATTCTATTCTGTCCAAACCCCTATAGGTCTCTTCTCGAACAATTGTACGTATTAATCTGAAAAACTCAAAGTCCCCGAAAGATCTCCAGGTTGAGAGTCTCGTTATCGACGGAAACCCTCGGTTCCGGTGCATTCAAGACCGGAGAAGCGTTAAGGCGAGCGAGGAGGAAAAGAGTCGTCCCGCAGATCGGGCGTCAAAGCGGCCGCCCGTGCGCGCGTCGCCTCGTACGTGCAAGCGCATTCGAATCTCCTTGTCCCCGGCGACGTTGCATAATACTGCGGAGCGAAGTGTCGCGCACCTATGCGTCGAGGGCATCGTATCTCGAATGCAGACGGGGAAAACCACGCAACGGGCCCCGGGGAAAGAAAGAGAGGAGGGGGGCACACGGCGGTTGCAGTTTTACGGCCATCGAGTAATTCAGGCCAGGGAGCCGCGTGTGTTAACGACGACGGTGACCTTGAATGTCAAGATTCCATCATGAACTGTCTGCATGCGAACGAGTACAATAGACAGGAATGTCCCGGTCGTGTCTGAGCGCGGGAGGAATTCATCACGATCGTCAAAGCTTTCGAACTTTCCATTTCAGTTATTCGCGTAGGGTCCCTTGATACGATTGTTCTTTGCTTGCGATTCGAAGACTTCGAGTGCGGTTAAAAATTCTCTGGAAGATAACGTAACACCTGGAGTCTTCGGGTTTTTGACAAACCTTTAGGAAATAGACCGATGTAATTGTTTTTGGGGTATACGATGTGGATTTGAGTTACGATAATCTTTTTCTTGAAGAATTTTCAGTATACCACCACGAAATATAATTAAATGTTTGTGCAGGCTTTTGATTATATTATTGCTACTTTACTGATTAAACATGTCCGTTCTGTGTGCGCTGTCCCGGGATTCCTGTAAATCTTGCTTACAATGGCTTACAGTTATAGGTATACTGACTCACTGCCCAAAAATTCCCCGGTTTACGATGTTTTGAAGGTATTTGCGACCCTATTAGAGGCCATAATAAGAGACTTACATTCCCTGGACTCATTTTGCCCACTGTTATAATCCTACAAATCCTCCACTACACCGCCCCTTTTCTCTGATTCTGAGATTTCTGTCCCAGTCATCGAAGCAATTAATTCACCTCAAACTTCCCGCAGAATTATTTCCAATAACGTCATCCCCGTACACGGGCGTCTCTATGCACACGTCAAAACAGAGCAAATCGCGTTTCCTGGTTCATAAAGAGACAACTGAGCAGATTAGTTCCGCGTCGGTAGGTCGAGAACACCGGGCCGAATTTGCATGTGAAAAACCGCACTCCTCGGAGCCGGGGAATTGGATAATACCTGACGCAACATCGTTTTCTGAAACTCCGGGATGAACGGCCTCGCGACCGGGAGGATCAATCGGTTGATTAACCCACGACTACAAACACGACTCATCTCAGAGATGAATGATCCAACAACGACTACTTCCTAACACTTTTGAACAACCGATTGAAGGTTACATTTCCATTATGATTTCATAAACAGTGTCTGCCACTTACTGTCAATTGAAAATACTCAAACAACTTTAGAGCTTCCAAAATTCGCCGCTAGGTGGTGATAGTAGAATAAGTAAAAAAAAAAAAAAATTAAAATTTGTCGCTGAAACGAGTGGTCTGTAGTTAAAGGGTTAGATGGCGATTAACGAATTATTTTAACACGCAGGCTTTGTCGGCGCGCGCGCACGCGCACGTACAAATTACACGTTTTCCCCGCAGCCGACGGTCGCAAACCAAATATTTATCCGCACGAAAGGACACTGGTGCGCGCAAGACGGCCGCCGACGGCATAATGCAACTGCTTCCCGATGTGGAACGAATAAAACGCTTTTACCGCATTCCGAGCGTAATTTCGCGGATTCTTCGGGCTCGGCCGGCTGTTTAGCCGCGGCGGGTAAACCCGATCCCGCTTACCAGACGAAAAACCTTGGTTCAATTACCCGCCGGATTTGTTGCTGAATCGGGAAGAAAAACATCGCTACGAAACGATCACTTCTCGGTCTCCTTACGCAGCGTGTTCGCCCGACAAAAATGTTAAGGATCCGCTGCGGTTTGGACAATGTTTTACCAGGGTTCTAGCAACGAATACAACTGTTTAGTGGTGCGTCACTGTGCTGAATGTGAATGGGGATGTTCGTACCTTTTGGAATTTTCACTCAAGGTGATTAGATTGTTGTTTGAATAAGAATACCCGTATCACGAATGGAACAATTATGTGTTTGCTGAAAGGTTAAGTGATTCAAATGTTGTTCATTTCTGTCTTTATGACAATCCCGTAGAGGGATTTACTTGTGTAGCTATTCCAAAGAAATTTTAACCTATCATTCGATGTTATGAATTTCTAGCAGGTCACTGGGTTGTTTTTTTGAATAGAGTTTCTAACTGATTTGAATTTTTATTTCAACCTCCCCGGTAGAGTGTTTGTACATGCACTTTAAACGTATCTGGGTCAAATTTCTCAAGACTATGTTTGGATTTTTGGGCGCATTTATCCGTTATGGTTTGTATCGTATTGCAATAATTTTGTTATTGTTCGGATGAAGCAAGTGTGGCTTGAAATTCTTGATGTTTTTCCAAAATAAATCCGACGCATTTCTTGCACCGTTTTCAAACAACATCGAATATCATTCATTGCAATCAATCGGATGCAACAGTTCTTCACATTTTTTTTTATGAAAATCTATTCGTACGTTCAACGATTACAATTTCGTTGAATTATATGAATTTTAGCAGAGTATAATAATTTATAAGTATGTTGGAAACAAACGGCTACCTAGTCGTCGTTTATTACAATTATTTTTAATAACGTTCAATTCAAGTTCGTCGGAAACGTCTTATGTCAATGATAAGGAAACGTCAGATTGTCGTGGCTATTTGACCAGTGAATCAACCACTAGACAACAAGTCCGTTAACATTTGGAATAGATTTCAGAGTACAAGCTTGACGACCTCTCGGGTCTGCCGTGAAATTTTGTGCCCTCAGGCGAAGCGGCGTCGGTTATTTCGTAGTTTCACGAATCGAGTCGATGTCGAGAGCACATTCAAGCACAAGGAAGAGGGGGGAAAAAGTGATGATAAGCGGTGACCTATGCAAAACTCGTGCAGATATTTTTTTACGCTCTTTTTTCGTTCAACGAGTTCCTGTTCCTTCTTTTTTTGCCCCCTTTTTTCGAAATTGCTTCGTACACCTGTTGTTGACAATACATACGGACGAAGCGTTGCATGCACTGCGCGATCGGCTTTAGCACTTATATTTTGACGAAAGGCACGCCCCTTGGACGGCTTTACTTTCGAATCTCGTCCAAGAGGTTATCCACATCAGGTGATGCAAGAATCTATCGATTGTGGATCGCAACATTGTTTTAACGCCACAACACGCTCATGCTCATGCCTCTTATCAAACGAGTAAATCCCATATCGAAGGACTAGGAAACGTAAGCGTAAAGTATTGTGGGTCGAGGGAGCACAGATGGTGGCCAAACATAACCTCTACGAAACCACGAACTCGCTGTCTCACGGCAAATCGCCAAAGCGACTAAATATCAACCACGATAGAATCGAATAGATAAAAGCAGACATTTGAAAGCCAGGCCAAAGAAACCGCGATTCTAAAAGCTGGCGGACTGGTGTGAGAATGATTCATCTATTTTCACGTTGCCCGAACGCGAATAATAATGTCTACTTTCGTAACGAATTTATACAAGGTATATCGGGTCGTTTCTACAGGATAGGAAAGCAGGCATTTTCGATTAGATTCTGGAACAATCTGAAAGGCGATCTAACAAGCTAACTGCCTTGTCAGTTCTCTTATTACGTAATGTCGTTGTCAAACTATACGGATACACCGTAGCGATGCAGTCGAACGAGTCAAGTTCGCGAAAAGGGCACTTGCAATCGTTTCGAATTGAACCGCGTTCAATTTTTCTGTTAGCCGTGCACGGACAATGAGGGAAAAATGTGCAGCACTAACCAGCTGCTAACGAGCCAACGTGGCCTCGTACACGTTCCTTCTACGATCATATTCGTATTGGTTTTCGACGACGGTGTAACACTTATTATCGGTCGCGAATAATAATGTTCCCGGCTATTTCAACGTACAATCACGACAATTCCCCTGGATGGCTGCGGTAACGAAATTCCACACGAAATATGGCGAGCGAGTTGACGATCGGGTGTCTCTTTCCTTGGCACGACATTACGACACATGTACGCACACACGTATTACGTGCGCACATACACACACACGGGCGAACGAGAGAACAGGCGCGCACCGTTTCGTGACGAACGTGTAGAGGCGCGCACATACACACCTATACACACGCGGAGCCACAAGCTCGCGATCCTAGCCTATACATTAGGAAAAAAGAGACCGAGACGAAACACCACGAAATTTGTTTAAGATTTACTTACCCGATTCTTGACGAAGTCGTCGATGGCACGTTGCGCCGAGTCGGTGAGCTTCACGAAGATCAGGGACTTGTTTTCGTGAAAATTACTGTGCGACGACAACCCATACTGGACACCTGCCACCAGCGCCGCCATTTCTCTGTCTCTCAGCAGTGGGTTCTCTCTCGCACACCGTCCCCCTCGTAAAAGCGCACACAGCTGACGACGTCCTTGTTGGTTAAACGAAGCACTTTTTTTTCTTCTTTCTGTTACCTTTACTTTTTAACCTGCGATACGAAACTGCTCATGCTACGTCAACGACGGGAACACTTGTCGCGACGGTATTTCCACCCGTTGGAACAAAACGTAACAAGACGAAGAGAGAAACAAAAGGGAAGAGAGAAAAAAGAAGGTAGAGAGACAGATAAAGAGAGAGAAAGACATACAACCCCCCCCGAAGCAGAGGATACTCTCCACACTGGCCCCGCAGCTCTGGCACACACGCGTCTTCTCTGCTTTTCCCGAAGTATATTTTCCTTTTTTTTTTATTTCACGCTCTCCACCTTTGCCACTTCTTTACGCGGTTCGTTCTCCTCGTCACGATTCGAAAGTGGTAGCACCCGCGTGTAAACCACCCTCTCGCACGTTCCTGGTTCTCGGTTCCTCTCAACCGTCACATATTAGCGCGCCGACACGTTTCATTTCAGATTTTTCTCGCGATTGGAGAGAGCACAGCGCCCGACGTTTTGCCGTAAGGAACTACACAACTACACTTTCGAACGACCACCTGGTAGGCGGGGCTTACGGGAGAACAGTTGACCAATCCCGAGCCGTGTTGAGATAGCGTGCGACCGTCGACCGTACTGTCCTCCTGCGGTCGCAGTCAACGATCGACTGACATTATTTGCTTGTACCGTCCGCTTTCTTTATGGACGTCTTTACCAACGCGTGCTTTGGTGACTAAGTTTTGGGGAATTAAATGAACTGTTTTTATTTATTAATGTACACAACATTACAAATATTTACATTGTATACAAAATACCATATAAATATAAGGTATAAGAATGGTGAACAATAACAAACCCAGACACAAAATATGCAATTACAGACTAATTGCGCTTATCAAGAAGTTTCGCAGTAGCACATAAACATATCTGCACACATGAAAGCTGGATTCAAAAAAAGAAAAATGGGAAGAATGGAAAATATTAGAAAATCAATTTAATACATGAGCATCACTAAAGGTGGCGCTTCGATTTCCTAAAGACGCATTTACAATTTTCCTATGCTTAGATACAATGTAAATGTATCCGCGAATTGAACACGATAGTGGTGCGACCCGAACTATCTAAAACTCTACATGTTGGGTTCTACTGCTGCCATCTGATTGTGAATTCTTAAAATCACACGAATAACAATCTGCTTGTAAAATGATAAAAGAAGTTTTAACGCAGGTTATTTTTTAAGTATTTTGCACTCTGTATACATTGTATTAAACAACGACAGAAGTCGAGCGTCGATTAATCGCGGATTTCTGTAAATAATTTTTATTATTTCTTTGTAACTATGCTATATAATCTGATGAATAGGATATTAGTTTCCTTTAGACTTGTTCCATGTATTTTTAATTCATATTCTGAATTAAAACTTTTTTATATAATTTCATTAAAATAAATATTACTAGGTGAAAACGAATCATAGACGTGGACAGAATACATTGCATAGAAAAGATGTAAATTTGATGTGGCAGCCCTGTCGCTGTCTAGTGTCGGCTCGTTGTTGGCAACATTGCGTGGTCCATGTCGGACGTACATTTTATCTGTTGTTATCTGTAATTGCGCATTGTAAAATTGTGCCTTGTATACGTTTTTTGGACACAAATTAAGCTTTGTCATTTCTGTTATATAAACTATTAATTATGTTGCATACGGTACAACTTACTGTAGGCATTAGCATTTATGCTGTGTTCGTATACAGAGCTGTACGTGATCCAGAAAAGTATCAGTGTTGGTCGCGTTTTCCACTACTTGACAAAGAGGTGTACGATAAAGCAGAGGTAAATGTTTATATTACAAAAACATTTGAGACTCAAAGTTACCTTTGTTAAATTAATGTTTTGCATCTGATGCTTAGTGTCACATGTTAATGTAAATTATCTCATGTTAATATTAACATTATGCATCTGTTAGACTCATTGTGAAAAACTATTTTATGGGTTATAATAAGGTAAACTCAACTTAATTTTAACATTAATCAGTGTTATTTTCTTTACAGTATTATATTGCGAAAGCAAAGGCGGAAGCAGCCGCATTAAAGAAATGATGGAGGATATAAAGAAGTAAATATCTTTTTATGACGGATTAATGTTATTTATTGCTATGCTGTATAGAAATCAAATATGTATACCATTCTGCTAAAAATATAGAACTTCGATATAGATTATATCCAAGTGTTTATAGAATTATTTGTTACTGACATTAATGGTTGTTAATGGACTAAACATTTCCAACATATACAATTATATAAATTTTAAATAGGTTTCTATATTCTTTAATGTTTGATAAAACCATTAATAAGGTAAACAAATTCTGGCTTGCCATCAGTTTTTATAAATTGATTTATACAGATATTGATTTGTATAAATATCCACAATCCAGTCATTAATTTATGTTTAAATATGTTTCATGTTTGATTTCCTTTGCATATCATTTTTTTTATTCAGATCTGTGTTTTTAATCACGGTATTGTTTATTTTTCTTATTTTTAGCAGCATTCTTAAATATGATAACTAACTTGTATTCGTAATATGTCATGCTTTTTTTTTTTTATTGAAAAGAAAATGGAGTCCACCAATAGTTTAACAAATAGTTTAGCTGGTTCAATAATAGTACAATCGAGTTAATTGAAAAACGCAAAAATTTGTAAAAACAATAGGGCTTAAATTTTCTTATTTTCTTGGATAGTGTTATTTCCCATACTAAATAGTGATGTGAGAAATTGGACAGAAGATACCAAATGTATGATAAAAGTTGTTCAGCGTGTTGTATCTTATTCACGACCGCAGCTTTTATCCTTTTCAACAAGTGAGGAGAAATTATTTGCATCCCTACAATTTTCACATATTTCAATATTTTTTAACGAAATCTAGAACATGTATCGACTATTGAGTCTATTTGAAGATTTTCTATTTGAAGGCACAATTGGCTTTGACTAACAAGATCTGCAAGTATTGAAAAACAATTTGAATCGGCGTCGTGCTGCAAGCGTTTATGTACATATTATAAACGGGTATTAATTATGGCGCGTTGCAGCATGAAAATGTTCAATAATCGTAGATTCAGGACAAGAAGGTGTTGCAAATAATGTAATCTCAGGCTGATAGGTTTTGATGATTTATTAGAGTCCCTGGATCACCTTCCCCTGAGGCAGCCCATTCCAATAAGAAAGCCATCCTTTCTTTATCACTTTAATATTTACCATCTTATATCGCATACGCTTTTTTGTTCCGCTGTCCATTTAAGAGCACCCTTTGGATATGGTACAATTACGCAAAATGAGTAACGAGAAAACTGTGCGAACGGACAACGGGTAATGAACGAACGCAAAACCGAAATATATATCTTTACATCAGAATGTATCGTTTTTATCTACATCTCATCGAGATAATTCCGCTAGGCGTCGTTCGGTTATTTTCTTAATTTGGCGGGGGCACGATGGTTACGTGTAGCGTGACGGTTCAGTTCTTCGTTTTCGATTTTGGTACACTAAGCGAAGCGTGCCGCGTACATTACTTTGAAATAGATCGGGGGTTGGGGGTTACAGTAGCGTGGACAGTTTAGCCGAAAGAAGAAGTACAGGTACATACTATAAACGCCTCCATCGTGTCGCCGCAACGTGCAACGAGCAACGGCGCCTCAGATGCAGAACTTTGTTAACATTTACAAAAGGAGGACGAGCAACATTCTCATCGCGTAACGTGTGCCGTCTTTTTGGCAATGTTTCCGCTCCGCGCGTAATTTCGGGCGAACGAAACGATGTGAAATCTTCTATGTGTAATTTGACGTGCTTCCCCGATAGTGGACGAAAGAATGAAAGATCGAATGGGCACGATCGATTTACAACACGCAGCGTATTGTAACAGACGAATACACGAGTAGAACGAATAAAAAGGACTCGATGAAACGGACATATATAGAAGAAAAAAGAAACAGAAAAGAAAGATGTGTGTCATTTTCGTTGTTGCCTCGTGTTCTCGCTACACTTGCCTCTTTCGTAACTGAATTTTCCTGGAAATTATAAAGACTCCTAGCTTCGACTCGATTGCTCGTTCTATTTCCGAAAACACGAAGTAACATCGGACCGAAAATATATATATACCACGATCATGTATATGTACACTCGTCGTATATACGTATATATGTATATGTATTTATATATGTATATATAATATGTGCAGTCGTATGTGCAATATATTCTGCCGGTACAAGATTCAAATGCAATAATATCTTACACGTGCGGCATAACTGTCGATGCGAACAGAAAGATGAACGAAAATTATAAGTTCGAGAAAAGAGGTGATCGGAGGCGACCAAACGTACACTTCGTACAACGTCGACGCGACGAAAAACACCCATGCCCTAATTATAGCGGATGACAATGACGGTGGATCGTGACATAGGCAGAGACGATGATAAAATAATGACGACAACGATTATATAGCTATATTGGTTGCGGTCTCTCCTTTTCGCCGTTATACGTCAGGTCAAGAATCTCGGGGCCTTCGATGAAACGAAGAGAATAATTGCGATCGTTACGTAAAGTTGGCCAAAGTCCAAATCAGAAGCATCTGAAGGAGACACTACGATGCGCGGTATCTACGAGGAGGATCGAAGTCAACTCTGGGCAACGCATTATATGTCATTGTCGGTTGCACGTGAATCCTGTCGCATACCTGATTTCCGTGGAATTCAGCATCGACGTAGCTTTTGCATCAATCGAGATCAAATTATATACATACACTTGGTTTCTAGTTCCCGTTTTACCGAAGGCCCCACAGGTCGCAACCGACGCGTGTTCGGTTCGTAACGGTGATTACGGCGTTGTAACATTTAGTCACGACTTAGAAATTCTATCTAGTAATTTGTGGTAGTGATGATATTTGAACGATGTCCCCTGGGACACAATGATATGGTACACGGCACAATGATTCAACGAGACGAGGAAACTTTGATCGTCCTCCCTCGTTCGCCTTTCTCGATTTTCGCGCGAGATCATCACATTATACACTATTCTCAGTCGCTTCACCTGTCCATTAGATACTGCACCGTGGCTCGCATTCTCTTGAACGGCTTTGCCCGTTTATTTAATCCTCTCTTTCGCTCGCTCACACTGTGCCACGTCGTGCGCGTTTCCTGCCTT